GGCGAACATGTCAGGAAGGTGGCTCTTGGAGTGGGACGGAGCCTTCCTGCCAAGGTGACCCTTGACCTGTGACTCCAGGTCAGATCCTGCTTTCCCATCCTTCTGTCTCCACACCAGGGTACTGTCTTCTCTCCTCACCTCAACCTGCTCCTTCCTCACTTCTTTTAAACCTCCTTGTAGGACTATCTCACTCCTTAGCCCTTTCCACCCTGGAAACTCACCATCCTGTCTCTCTGGTCATGTGTCCCTGACCACTCCAGACATTTGACCTGATTTCTGATCTCTCCCAGACTCCTTCATGTATGACACCCCTCAAGAGGTGGCAGAAGCCTTCCTGTCTTCCCTGACAGAGACCATAGAAGGAGTCGATGCTGAGGATGGGCACAGCCCAGGTTTGGATACACAGAGGGGAGGTGGTGGGGGAATTGGGGAGGATGAGGCAGGAGAACCATCAGCGCTGGAGCCTGAGTCTCTCTGCTGGCATCCAGGGGAGCAACAGAAGCGGAAGATTGTCCTGGACCCCTCGGGCTCCATGAACATCTATCTGGTGCTGGATGGATCAGACAGCATCGGGGCCAGGAACTTCACAGGGGCCAAGAAGTGTCTAACCAACTTAATTGAGAAGGTGGAGTCCCCCTTCCCCTGAACCTGGGACTCTGTATAAACCTCACTGCCCTTCCAGAACTAGCTCCCTGATAATCCTAGCCCTTCTGAACGACAGGGTCCCAGAAAATCTCCAGGTCCTATCTGTCCTCCTTCCCTTTTACTTGAAGCAGTCTCTTGACTGTGAACAGACTCCTCCATGAACATTAGCCCTTGGGCCTCTTACTACGACCTTCCTTGTCCCGGAAAAGTTGCTGAATTCTCTAAATCATAGTATTCCACTTTCAATGCCCTGACTCCTTGCTCCCTCACCCACAGGTGGCGAGTTATGGGGTGAGGCCAAGATATGGTCTAATAACATATGCCACATACCCCAACATTTTGATCAGAGTGTCTGATCAAAAGAGCAGTGATGCAGACTGGGTCACCGAGAAGCTCAACGAAATCAGTTATGAAGGTCAGAGGTTAGGGAAGGGAATGGTGGGAGGTCTACTTTGGGGTCAGAGAGGCCAGAAGGTTCAGGAGTTTTGTGTGGAGGGGGTAGTGAGACCATGTTGAGGGGGACAGGGAGGACCACTTTGTAGTCAAAAGCTCAATAGCAGGTTCATTGGGCAGTGGGGTGAGTGGGAACTTATTAGGGGCTGGTGGGGCCACTTTGTGGCCAAAGGGAAGTCAGTGGGATGATGGTCAATGCAAAAAGTTGAAAGGTGAGGAATCTCAGTTGCTGGTAGGCCTCTGGGATTCAAGGATGCTGTGGAAGACCAGGTGAGGTGATGACCTTTTCCCTCTGCACAGACCACAAATTGAAGTCAGGGACTAACACCAAGAAGGCCCTCCAGGCAGTATACAGCATGATGAGCTGGCCAGGCGATGCCCCTCCTGAAGGCTGGAACCGCACCCGCCATGTCATTATCCTCATGACTGATGGTCAGAAGGGACCTTTCTCCTGTCCCACCCTGTCAGACCAGCATGTGGCCCTTAAGTCCACTTGTAACACTAGACTCATAGTTGGGTCCCTGAATGCCCTCCTTCCCTTTTACTTGAAGCAGCCTCTTATCTATTAACAGACTCTTCCACGAACCTCAGCCCTTGAGCCTCTTACTATGACCTTTGTCCCAGAAAAGCTGTGAATTCTCCCAACCATAGTATTCTACTTTCAATGCCCTGGTTCCTTGCCAAAAGCCAGATCAGTGCTGGCTGTTGATCTCTCCTGTGACCCTTTACAAGGAAGGACCCTTCTCCCTAAAGTCCTCTGTGATCTGCCACCTCTGTCCCCTCCTCAACCTGGTCACCCAGCCATGTGTGTCACTGCCTCTAGCCAATTTATCTTTCTTGACCCTCTTTCATCCTTATCTCCCACCCTCATGGTCCCTGTCTTTCTGCAGGCTTGTACAACATGGGTGGGGACCCAGTCACTGTCATTGATGAGATCCGGGACTTGCTGAATATTGGCAGGGATCGCAAAAATCCAAGGGAGGATTATCTGGGTGAGTGACCGGCCCAGGACGCAGCACCACTCTTCCTCAGGGCCTGGACCCTCACTCTCCCTCTTTCTCCCTCAGACGTCTACGTGTTTGGGGTCGGGCCTCTGGTGGACCAAGTCAACATCAATGCTTTGGCTTCCAAGAAAGACAACGAGCAACATGTGTTCAAAGTCAAGGATATGGAAAACCTGGAAGATGTTTTCTACCAAATGATTGGTAGGAAGATACAAGAAGGGCATTAAGAACTCAACTCTCTCCAGACCGCCCTGAAGTCACTCATTTCTCCTCTACCCCCGAAGCCCTAGCAGTCTGGAAAGCTTTTCTCATTCCTCCTTCTCTACCTCAAGTGTCACTATTCCTGTTTCCCGGCACTGTCTACTCCCTAATCTCAGAATCACAGAGCTCTGAGCAACTTCAGAGATCTATGGTCCCTCATTTGACCAAAGTGGAAACTGAAGTTAAAACAGGTCAAGAAACAGCAAGCTACCAACAGGGTTGGGTCTGAAAACAGCCTAGCCTCTGATAGCTTAGTCCCAAGTGCTCTCCACTATACCACAGTAGTTCTGTCTCCCAACACGAGGAGACAAACGGCCCGGCCTCTCCCGTTCTCCTCGTGGGCCTCTGCTCCTCGTCAGCATGCAGGGACCCCGCCCCAGAAGGCTGCTGCCATTTGAGTATGAAGTGCTCCCAGCTTTCAGCACATTCTCCTTCTCTGCCAGATGAAAGCAAGTCTCTGGGTCTCTGTGGCATGGTCTGGGAACACAGGAAAGGCACTGATTACCACAAGCAACCATGGCAGGCCAAGATCTCAGTCACCGTGAGCACGGCATTCTAGTAGTGGGGACTTGCTGGGGGTGGGGTCGGGGTGAAAAGGGGGTAGGGGAAGGGCAAAATGTTCATATGAGATTGTGGTTTGGGAAGGCTGAACTTCCCCCCACTCCCGTTCTGTTTCCAGCGCCCTTCGAAGGGACATGAGAACTGCATGGGGGCTGTGGTGTCTGAGTACTTTGTGCTGACAGCAGCACACTGCTTCACTGTGGATGACCAGAAACACTCGATCAAGGTCAGCGTGGGTAAGGACGCAACTGACTGGTCCTGAGCTGCAGCTACACTCTGTGGGCAACACCTCCCACCTCAAGATGCCACACTCCACCTGTCCTAAATGCAGCCCCTCCTCTGCACCCCGGACCAGTCAGCGATGGGGAAGACTTGAGTTAGGAATGACATGGGGCCAGAGGCAGGCGGCTGCCCACAGAGAAGTGATACCTCGGCTCTCCTACTTCAGGAGGGAAGAGGCGGGAGTTGGAGATAGAAGAAGTCCTATTTCACCCCAAATACAACATCAATGGGAAAACGGCAGAAGGAATTCCTGAATTCTACGACTATGACGTGGCCCTGGTGAAGCTCAAGAATAAGCTGACGTATGACCAGACTCTCAGGTGAGAGAAGCTGGATCCCTGAGTAGGAAAAGTTTGGGAAGGCGGGATGAAATAATACTTGGGTGAGAGGCGGGCCCAGTTTGCTGTCCCTGACCGTCCCCTTCTCCCAAACAGGCCCATTTGCCTCCCCTGCACCGAGGGAACAACTCGAGCTTTGAGGCTTCCTCAGACAGCCACTTGCCAGCAACACAGTGAGACATACTCAGGGAGAGGACAAGGATGAGAATCCAAGAGACAAGAGGGGCACGAGAGGGAGGTGCACTAGGAGCAGATGTGCAGCCCAGGGCCTAGCTCATGGCAAGGCCTTGAGGGGCAACTGCTGATGACAAAGTCAATGGGGAGATGGTGGTGGCGGTGGGAGCAGCTGAAGTGACCCAGTCTGTCCATCTGTCCAGGGGAAGAGCTGCTCCCTGCAATGGATGTCAAAGCTCTGTTTGTGTCCGAGGAGGAGAAGAAGCTTACTCGGAAGGAGGTCTACATCAAGAATGGGGATAAGGTGAGCAATGGGGATCCTAAGGCGGTCCTCTAGGCCCAGATCCCTCCTAAGCCACCTTTGTTCATCGCCCCTTTCTCCTGTCCTCCCCACCCCCCTACAGAAAGCCAGCTGTGAGAGAGATGCTCAATATGCCCCAGGCTATGACAAAGTCAAGGACATCTCTGAGGTGGTCACGCCCAGGTTCCTTTGCACTGGAGGGGTGAATCCCTACTCTGACCCCAATACTTGCAAAGGTGCGAGAAGGCTCTTTGGTGGTACTACAAGTACCTGAAGCCCCGGAGTCCTTTTCCCTACAGCTTCTCCTCTTACGCAGGTGATTCTGGAGGCCCCCTGATTATTCACAAGAGAAGTCGCTTCATTCAAGTAAGTCCTCCCTCTCCTCTCTGTGGGGAGATGCCAGGTGGTTGGCATGGGCCCCAAAGCAGGGGAGCTCATGCATGTGGCCAAGAGCGGGAGGTGGGCAGAGTCTGCCTCGCCTTAGGCTGAGAGGAGCACAGGGCTGAGTCGGATCCCTAGTCTGATTCCTTTAGATCGGCTCAGACTCAAGTGGGAACAGCCAAGCTTCTGGGATCAGGAAGGAATTCTACCAAATGCCCCACACGACTCCTCCTTGCCTCTGCAGGTTGGCGTAATCAGCTGGGGAGTGGTGGATGTCTGCAAAAACCAAAAACGGCAGCAGCAGGTACCTGCTCATGCCCGAGACTTTCACATCAACCTCTTCCAAGTGCTGCCCTGGCTGAAGGAGAAACTCAAACACGAGGAGCTGGGTTTTCTTTAAGGGGTGTCTTGCTGGAAAGGAGGGTGGCATTGAATTAAAACAGCTGCGATAATACCTGTGTTCCAGATCCTTTTGGGTCAAGGGAGTGGGGAATGTGCACTGCCCATGTTGTTACAACTGAGGTCAAATCTGACAGCCGTTTTTAAAGGCTTAATCCCGAACCCAAGTGCTGAAAAACCAGAGGCTGAGGGAAATGTGTGAGCTTCCACCTCAGTGTTTTACTGAGACCAGCATTGGGGGCATGTGAGGCACAAGGAATCCAGCTCCATTCCCTAGAAGCCATCCACAAGGTTTTCCTTGTAGATGTCATCACTGTAGACAATCTGGGTCCTCTTGTCCCGGTGGCAACCCTTAGGGCTGTTCTGGACAGCTAGGGAAGGAGGAGAGAGACAGGTAAGACCTAAAGGAGAGCACTGACCACACCCGAGGCCCAGAGCCTGACTACCTCACTCCTGGCCGCTGCCCCCTGGTGGCCAGAATGGCCTTTCTCCCTTTAGCCCCCTTGAACAGTGGCCGCCAAACCATTGCAAGCACAGTGGAAGCTGTTATTGTGACACGTGTGGGTACTGTGATGAATGTTTTGTTCTTAGATAAACCCCAAATGTTGTGACTACTGAGTCATGCAAATGATGTTAACATGCTACTTTTAGTATGTCAAACATTAAAGATTAGAAACTCTCTGTGGCCCTTTGTTGATATGCTGGTCAATTCTGGTTCCCTCCCTTTGTCTGCAGGGCCCTTCTTTCTGCTCACTCCTTTCCCAGGAAAAATCTATTTTCAGGTAAAACGGGTTATTCACACTAAGAAATGCTACCGCCCCACCAAAGCTCATCCAGGGTGTAGCTTTGGCCCTCAGCACTGTCCCTTGAGTCTCTAGCTGTTTCTTCCTCTTCCTCTTCCCTTCCACCACTGGACACTTCCCTCTCTTCACCCCATCCAAGGAGTTCATCCCCACCGCCCTGGGGCTAGAAAGAATCCCACCCACACCAGTCCCCCTCTCTGTGATCTCCGTACCTCGACACTGCTGACCACTCCCTCCTCAAAGCATGTGTCCTTTGGCTTCAGTGGCCCTGGCCCCTTTGGTGCTAATCCCAGCCCTCTGATCCCTCCTGCCTCCTTTGCTGCATCCTCAACGTCAGCCTAACACGTCAGGAGAGCTGGGGACACGTGGGGCATGAGGAGTACAGTCCTGCTTTCTAACACAGTCCCTGAATATTCCTCGAGTCCAGTCCTGGGTCATTCTTTTCTCCAAAATCAGTCTCCCCTGATGATACTGTTTTGTAGCCACCCTGTGATGCAGATGACTTTAACCTATGTTTTCATTCCTCACCTCACACCTGAGTTTCAGATCCCTAATTTTAAATATGAAACCCACTCTACACCCTCTCAAAATGAACAAGCCTCATGAGATGCTCGTCTTCCTCACCAAACTGACTGCAGCTCCCACTTTCTTACCTGTTCCAGTCATTGCTTTGGGAGTTGTTTTCAATCCTTTCCTCTCCTTCTTCCTTTACCTCTAACTAACAGGGCCTGGCAATTCTCCTTCCCATTCCCATAGCCTCCACACAAATTTTGACCTCTATCCCCTCCAGGGAATCCAGGCACGTGCCGGGGAAAAAAGAAGGGGTGGGTTGTGGAAGAGAGGGTGAGAAAGAATCCAATTCTTACCGAGGGAGCCCCAGACAGATTTGCCAGTAGCAGCATCCAGCATGGGCTGTTTGCGGGCTATGTTGACTTTGAGCTGTACGGACTCCACCTGGGTCCCGTTGAGCTGGAGCAGAGAGGGGAAGAAGCAGAGGATGGGGGAGGAAAACATTATAGAAAACCAAAGTTGTTCCAAGGGTTGCTATCCTGGGAGTAGACTGAATAGGGATCTGAGGATGGAAGTTTTTCTGTGGGAATAGGGAGAGACTTCCTCTGTCAAGAGGAACCAATTTCCTCCTGGCTCCCAGTATTTTAAGGAGAAAACACGAGGATGGCAGGAGGGATGGGAAAAACAGATCTGGGAAGTCCCAACCTCAGCAACAGCCTGATCTGCTGACTCCATCTTTTCATAGGTGACGAAGGCACAGCTGGGATAAGAGAAAACAGGGTCAGTGGAGGACCTATGGACTCTTCTGGACCCAACCAAACTCAGTGTTCACAGGTTGCTGCAGGCAGGGCAGCCTCCGCCCCCAGGTCCCACACCCCAGGGATCTCCCAGGACTTCTCATCATGCCTTGTTGTCATCCTTACTTTCTGGGTGGGTCCATGGAGAGATCAATGATGTTTCCAAAGGGAGAGAAGGCCCCACGGAGGAGGGTGGGTGTCATGTCTTCCCCGTACACATAGAGAGTGTTCCCCTTCCGAGGGGCCCGGCGTTCAGGGAACGAGTCCGACCCTGTGGGATCGAGAATCATAGTAACAAGACATAGCCCATCTCACCTTCCATTTAGCAGGACCCGTCTAAACCTCTGCTGAGGTCACCTTCCCCTCCAGCCACGATCACTCACTGCGGAAAGGGCCCTCTCGGTCTCTCTCTCGGTCTCGATCCCGCTCTCGGTCTCGATCCCTGTCCCGCTCCCGGTCTCGATCCCGATCCCTGTCCCGTTCCCGATCTCGGTCCCGGTCTCGATCCCGCTCCCGATCTCGGTCCCTGTCCCGGTTCCTCTCATGGCTGCGGTCCCGGCTGCGGCTTCGGGGAGGGGAGGTTGAGGAGCGGGCACCACCACGTTCTTCGTAGCCCCAGTCAAAGGTTCGAGGGGGGCCATCACCAGCCCCGGTGCCCTCTGTCTCTTCTGCATCTGGTCCCAGTTCTCGAAGCCGATCGCTGGAAGACACAAAGCTGGGGAGAAGCAGACAGTGAGGATCAAAGGGGGCTTATACTTCCTCCTCCCAGACCCTGTGGAGGCTCAACATTCCCTCGGCAGCCCAGCTGCTTCCACTCTAGTGCCACACCTCCCAAGGACTGAGGCAATCAACCTTGCCACCAAGTGGGCCCAGTCCTATTGCTAACACTCTAACCTCTCATACAGAGATTTCCTCTGGGGACGTCTGGACGACTGAAAAAGAAAACAAGAACAGTTAAGATCATTCCCAGTTGTTGACATGTGGTCCAAAACATGAGGGTCTCTCATCTTCCTCAATCCCCAGCCCCTCACAGACTGAGAATTAGGAACCATTACCTCCTGTAGGTCATCATCAGCAGATATGCTCCTCTGGAACGGCTGGAAAGTGGGGACTGGTCCCTTCTCCGGGTCCTGGAGAGGTGGCAGGGACCTAACTCAGCATGGGAACAGGAAGTGTTCCTTTTCCCTCACTCTCTTCTTGGCTTTCTCTATTTTTTCTTTTAATTCTATGTACATTTCTTATTCGACTATGTGGTACTTTTTATAACCGACCTGACATACACGTATTTAGTTTACGTAAACTTCTCCTTAATCTGATGATTTTCAGCCCATTCAATCCCTTAGAGCAACACGTTCCAAGAACTAGAATCTAATTTAATGAACGTGTAAAATGAAGAAGAATTTAGCAGTCACCAAGTTTTTTCATTTTACAGATAAGAAAACTGAAACTCAGAATGGTTATAGCAATTTGCATTTCTTTCCCCTAAACCCAGCTCCATTCCAACCTGGGGGGATGCCCTCTCAAGTCAGGGGTCCCCTGAACAATCCTTCTGCTTGTGCTCACCTTTAACTTCCCCTCTAGGGTTCGAGAACGTTTGAAGCCTGAGTTCTTGGTCTCAGCCTTGATGGCACTGATGGCTCCTGACTTCACCAGCTGTTTTGCCTGCTCTGTTGCTGTGGCTGTGTCCACCACAGGCTGCTCTGACAGTGCTTGAGAGGCGAGGGGAAGAGGCATTATGCTGGCTAGGTGAGCCCCACGCAGCCCACTTCCAGTCCATCCCCCTTTTCCCTGTCACTCACAGCGTTTGACACCACCTTGGCTGGCTGTGCTGCTGCTGCTTTGCTTCTTCAGAGCCAGCAACGCCTTTTTCTGGGAAGGAGGGTGAGAAGAGAGGGCTCAGTGAGGGCCAGCCCGATGGGTGCATCACTCCAGAGACATCTTTCTTGGTGTTCCCAGAGTGGTGCATTGAGGCAGCTCTGCCTTTCGCGTCTGGTCCCAGAGATGTACAATGTCAACGATACCTAATCTAGCCAAACCACAGAATCCAGAGGTTTTCCAGAGTCTCATTTTTTTTTTTTTTTTTTTTGAGACAGAGTCTCGTTCTGTTACCTGGGCTAGAGTGCTGTGGCATCAGCTGAGCTCACAGCAACCTCAAACTCCCGGGCTCAAGTGATCCTCCTGCCTCAGCCTCCCGAGTAGCTGGGACTCCAGGCATGTGCCACCATGCCCGGCTAATTTTTTCTATTTTTTTTGTAGAGATGGGGTCTCGATCTTGCTCAGGCTGGTCTCAAACTCCTGAGCTCAAGTGATCCTTCCGCCGCGGCCTCCCAGAGTGCTAGGATTACAGGCGTGAGCCACCGTGCCTGACCTAGAGTCTCACATTTTTGAAGTTGAAGACAAACATTTCAATCATGGATTGGAGACCCAGGATATAAACTGTAAGTAAAGTACAAGCCTCTGTGCCTTTTTTGGGGGCTTCATTTATCCATCCCCGGCATATTTAATGAGACCCAGTCATGATTTTGTAACAGGGATAGTCAGAAGTCTAAGCATGGCTCCTATCCTCAAGAAGCTTACAGTCCGAGAAATAAGATGACTAGTGTGAATTGCCAAGAATGATTATAAGAGGTGCAGATTACTCACACCTGAAAACAAGTAAGATTTTTCTGATGCTTAATGGCTACTAAATTAGGTCCTGGGTAGCATCTGCACAACACAGACAGAAGAGTATTTTAGACAAAGAAAACAGGGTGGCAAAGATGCAGAGATAAGAAGGTCTTGGGAATGCATGTTTTGGCAGTAGTGAATAGTTCTACTTGACTAGACAGGGATGTCATGCTAAGGTTTTGGGGCTTTGTTATGTTGACAATAATAAACCACTGCGGGTTTTGACAAAGAGGGGGAACAGAGTTTAGTGTTTTCAACAGATTATTTTTGCAGGAGTGAAGAAGTCTGTTCAAAAGGGACTGAGGAACTTGGCGACAGACCATTATAACAGCCTAAGTGAGTGTCAGTAAAGCCCTGCTCTGGGGAATACACAGGAAAGAATAAACAGGATAAATTACTTAAAAGAAGAATCAAGAAGACTTGGCAAATGTTCGGCTATACAAATAGTGGAAAAGTGGGAGATGAGATTTTGAGTTCAAACACTGGGAGAATTGAGCGTAGTCAGTCCTACGTGGAATATCAAGAATATTTAGTAAGGTGATCGCTTCAATTTTGGGTATCTGAAGTTTATCAGTAAGACATTGGATGGAACTGGAAAAACCAAACTTGGACATCACCAGCTCTCAGGTGGTATTAAAAGTCACAGGAAAGAGAGACGATTCCATGGCAGACTACACAGAAGAGAGAGAAGGCACACACCAAGACCTGGGAAAGCCCATCCCCTGAAGCTTACACTATGAGGTGACACGTCTCCAGGTATGCGCCAGAAGAATCCCCCATCCCCTCACACTCACCCCAGGTGTTCTCAGAGTGCAGAGTCTGTGAAAGGTTGCGCCATGCCCACACACACACCCTCACCTTTTTCTTGAGTTTGTTGAATTTCTTCTGCAGAGCCTCCTCCTCCTCGCTCAGTCCGGGGGGTATCACCAACATGGTGGCTCCTGGTTCAGGGGCAGGGCCCAAGACATCTTTCTCCACTGTCACCACCCAGGGTTCACACGCCGTCCACACTGCACCCAACCCCACCCCTCCAGGCCTGCCTACTCCTGCTTTTGGCCTTTCCCTAGCCCTTGCTTAAACCAGGTTGCCATCCAAAGCTCCCACTCGTCGGGATCAACCAGCATTCCCTCTTGTCTCCAGGGATCACAGGCACCAGCGCCTCGGGGCACCACGTGGCCGAGGGAGGGAAAAACACCCCCTCTGTCGCTGAGACGATGGCACCCGACCCCCTTACCCCCGCTGGGGTTAGTATGGCCAACCGCGGGGTTCGAACAGTAGAGGAGGCAGTAGAATCCGCGCAGCGTTCTCAGAGCAACGCAAGGGGGAAGAAGAGAGAAGGGACTCGGAAAAAGGGGCGAAGGGTGAGGAGGAGAAGGCCTTACCTGAGGGGGGCGGCAACCAGACCCCCCCGGTCTCGGGCGGCGCCCGCGCTGGCCGCCGATAGCGGGCTCAGAGCGATGACGTAGCGAGAGGCGGAGAACGCGGTAACCAAGGCGGCCCAAGGCGCACTTCCGCCCGGCCTTCCTCCGGGTCCCAACGTCCCCTCCGCCGCGCCAGTCCCCCGTCGCGGCGGGGACTACGCCGGAAGTCTCCTCCACTTCCGCCCGTTCCGGGGCGGGGCTTATTCGCCGCGACGACTCGCTGCTTTTCCGGGCTGCTAGGCAGCTGCGGTGGCTCCAGGATGATGGAGACTGAGCGACTCGGTGAGGGGGAGGGGAGTGGAACGGAGTAGTAGATAGGGAATGACCCTTGACCCCTGACCTCTGTCCTCTCCCTGTAGTGCTACCTCCCCCAGATCCCCTGGACCTGCCCCTTCGGGCCGTGGAGCTGGGATGCACAGGGCGCTGGGAGCTGCTGAACGTGCCTGGGGCTCCAGAGAGCACAGTGAGTGACTTTTAACCCTAACCTTTGACCCGCATTTAGTCTAAACCTCTTCCACCCTCCTCTCAGTAGGATCATCTAGCATGACCTCGCTCTCCCGTGCCTGGATACCTGTCATCCAAGCCTGACTGGTGCTGGACAGACTCCAGCCCGGTAGACCTGCAGTGAGTCCGAGCTCATGTGAGCACAGAGCAGGGGATACCTTAGCTCTGAGAGCTGCTTTTTCAAGTGTGTCTTTTCAGCTTGGAGCTCCCTTCTTCTGTCTCCAAGCACCAGGGCACTTGGTGATTAAGATGCTAGGCTTTGAGCCCCTGACTCTTCCTCTTTAGGTCTGAGACCTCTTATTCTAAAATCAGTGATTCTCAAATTTCGGTGTGCTTCATGATTAGCAGGGGAGCTTTTTAAAAGTGCAAATTCCCAGGACCTTTGGAAAATATTACTTCAGCCTGATTGTTCTAGTTTGGGACATCTGCCGTTTGTGATCTAAACACAAATCCTGGCCGAGCATGCTGGCTCACGCCTATGATCCCAGCACTTCAGGAGGCCTGAGATGGGAGGATTTCCTGAGGCCAGGAGTTCGAGACCAGCCTGGGCAACATAACAAGACCCGGTCTCAACAAAAAATAAAAAAATTAGCTGGTTGTGGCGGCACTTGCATGTAGTCCTACCTATCTGGGAGGCTGAGGTGGGAGGATTGCTCGAGCCCAAATGTCTGAGGCTGCAGTGAACTATAGTCATGCCACTGCACTGCAGCCTGGGTGACAGAGTGAGACCCTATCTCTAAAAAAACCAAATAAACACAAATGCCATCACCTCTTTTGTCTGCATTTTACCATTTTTCCTTATCTAATGCCTCTTATCTTGCTCCTGTTTCAGCTTCCCCATGGCCTCCCTCCCTGTGCCCCAGATCTGCAGCAGGAAGCAGAAGAGTTGTTTCTGTCATCCCCAGCCTGGCTGCCTCTGCATGGTGTGGAGCACTCAGCCCGGTGAGGAGTCTGCCTGTAGGAGCCCGGACTAGGGAGAGGGCTTCTTGAAGGAGTTCGGACAGGGGGAGAAAGAAGACCCCAAATTTACTTCTTTTCTTTCCAGAAAATGGCAGAGGAAGACAGATCCCTGGTCTCTCCTGGCTGCCCTGGGGGCCCCTGTCCCGTCTGACCTACAGGCCCAAAGACACCCAACCACAGGCCAGATACTGGGCTACAAGGAGGTAAGAGGTCAGAGGCCATGGGAAGCAGAGTTGGGAGAAGGTGAGGGGGTTAGAGGCAAGCTCGGTCTCACTGGGGCTGTGATCTGTTGCCTCAGGTCTTGCTGGAGAACACAAACCTGTCGGCCACGACCTCCTTGTCTCTTCGCCGGCCTCCAGGGCCGGTCTCCCAGTCCCTATGGGGAAATCCAACACAGTACCCCTTCTGGCCAGGTGACCCTTGTGGAGATGGGATGGTAGGAGAGGGAGCGCTTAGTCTCCAGGGAAGGAAGGTTTCCCACTCATCTCGTGTTACCCTCGTCCCATGAATCCCTGTCTGTCCACCCTTTCCCCAGGTGGGATGGACGAACCCACCATAACAGATCTGAACACTCGGGAGGAGGCTGAGGAGGAGATAGACTTTGAGAAAGGTGAGGTGGGGTTCTGAGTCTGAGCACTTCCGTGCCTTTGAGCAAATTAGAAAAAGGTGTCCTTTCCAAAACATCCTTTACTGTCACCTGTTGGGAAAGTGTTGCAGCAAACATCCCCATCTGCAGTGTCTGTGCTGTGAATGGTATCCTTTAGGTTTATACAACGTACAGCTTGCCCTCCAGTGTGCAGTGGCCCTGGTTCTGTCTCTCCCTGTCCTCCAGATCTTCTTACTGTTCCACCTGGTTTCAAGAAGGGCGTGGACTTTGCACCAAAAGGTTAGTTTTAGTCTTGTAATGGGAGTGTAGAAGTTGAGCCGTTTTATGGAGCAGAGAGGGACCTGACAAGGTCGCCTGTTTTACTTGCTCCTCAGATCACTCCACTCCAGCTCCCGGGTTGCTCAGCCTCAGCCGTCTTCTGGAGCCTCTAGATTTGGGTGGAGGTGATGAGGATGAGAGTGAGGCAGTGGGACAGCCAGCGGGTCCCAGAGGGGACACTGTTTCAGCCTCTCCCTGCAGTGCTCCCCTGGCCCGAGCAAGCAGCTTGGAGGACTTAGTGTTGAAGGTCAGTGGTTCTGGTGGTGGAGGCAAGTGAGGAGAGATCTTGCCACAAGGGAGGGGGGGTTGGCTCCGTTGCGCCTGAGGGGATGAAAGAGACATCTTTGGGAGGAGTGGTAATTGAGAACTCTCCGGCTGTATCTTTGTCACCCCTACCCCTGGCTTTTCCAGGAAGCGTCCACAGCTCTGTCCACCCCAGAGCCCCCAAAGCCTCCACCTCAGGAGCAGTGGGCCATTCCTGTGGATGTCACCTCCCCTGTGGATGATTTCTACCGCCTCATTCCGCAGCCAGCCTTCCAGGTACCGGGTCTAGTCCTCACTCGCTCCAGCACTCTTGCTGGCTCAGACCCTGCCGCAGCCTCCAGCCCGCCTCTGCCTTCTCTCCGCCAGAGGCCGTGCTCCTCCCAGGCCAATCTTGGTCCTCAGCGCCAGCCTCGCCTCGCTCTGCTCTCCTCCGCTCTGGCCCGCGTGCCCCATGAGCAGGAGGCAGGAAGGCCCCTCCTTTTTTCAGCCCCCATGTATTTCTCTTTCCCACAGTGGGCATTTGAGCCGGATGTGTTTCAGAAACAGGCCATCCTACACTTGGAGCGGCACGATTCTGTCTTTGTCGCAGCTCACACATCCGCGGGGAAGACAGTTGTGGCTGAATATGCCATTGCCCTGGCCCAGAAACACATGACTCGGTACAAGTTCCCTCCCCAACCTCCCCTTCACCAGCGGCCTGTTTCCTCTACATCCTTCTGGTGTCTGCTCTCTCTCCTGCCTTGCTACCTTACCTTTTAGGTGAGAGGTTCAGGGGAGAGACTGAGAAGGAGCCTAGGGAGAAATGAGAGGCATGGTGGGGACAGAGGTTAGAAAAATGAAGTTCAGAAAGGGGTGGGGGACAGAATTTTCCCAGGGTCGCATCATGAAAGAGAATGTGAGGGCAGTTTGAGTGGAGAAGGGGAGCACCCGTGCTCCTGGGGCGCCCTACTGGGAGCGCTTCGTGTGCAAGCAGAGACACTGACCACGAGTCCTTCTCCCCAGCACCATCTACACTTCGCCCATCAAGGCCCTCAGCAACCAGAAGTTCCGGGACTTCCGAAACACGTTCGGGGATGTGGGGCTGCTCACTGGGGACGTGCAGCTGCACCCGGAGGCCTCCTGCCTCATCATGACCACAGAGATCCTTCGGTGAGAGACGGGCACTCGGGACGGATGGACTTTTGGTTGGGAGGATGAAGCTGTTCCAGAGCGTGCTGGCTGAGGAGGGGTGGGGACAGGAGGCGCTGGGGAGTCAGGCCTCGGCCTCTTCTCCCCAGCTCCATGCTGTACAGTGGCTCAGATGTCATCCGGGACCTGGAGTGGGTCATCTTTGATGAGGTTCACTATATCAACGATGCTGAGGTAAGGGGTAGGGGGTCCCCTAGGGGTCTCCTGTGGGACTAGTTGAGCAGCTCCGCTGTTCCACACACCATGAGGACCTTACTGCCTTCTTTGCCCCCACATGGAACCCTGTGTCCCTTCTCTGGGGGCAGAAAGGTAGCACCCTCTGTACTCTTGGTGACCTCTCTTCCCTCTCCGTGCCCAGCGTGGGGTCGTGTGGGAGGAGGTGCTCATCATGCTGCCCGACCACGTCTCCATCATCCTGCTGAGTGCTACTGTCCCCAACGCCCTCGAGTTTGCTGACTGGATTGGGTGAGACGTATCCTCGGGTGCTTGGGTGAAAGGCCTGTGGTATTCCTTGGTTGGGATGGAGGGGGCAGTAAGGCTGCCACAGCAAGGACAGTGGTCAGGCCTTGGGGGTAGCGGGGAAAAGGGGTGGGGCTGGGGAACATGTCCCATTTGGGCATGGATGTTGACATGGAATGGCGGGGGACAGCCTTCCATTCTGGGTCTCAGAAAAATCTGAGTGAGGTCAGAGGGGGTGGGGAACGGGGTGGGCACATGGGTTCCTTTCCACACTCCCACCCTGACCTGCTGCCCTCTCTTCCCTTCAGGCGACTGAAGCGTCGTCAGATCTACGTGATCAGCACCGTTGCCCGCCCCGTCCCCCTGGAGCACTATCTCTTCACAGGGAACAGCCCCAAGACCCAGGGGGAGCTCTTCCTGTTGCTGGACTCCCGAGGAGCCTTCCACACAAAGGGGTAAGCCTGGACATGGAGGAGGGAGTCTGGGCCGGGCCCCCAGCTGGGTGTGACGGCCACCCCTCCCTGTGTCCCAGGTACTACGCAGCTGTGGAGGCCAAGAAGGAGAGGATGAGCAAACATGCCCAGACCTTTGGGGCCAAGCAGCCCACGCACCAGGGGGGGCCTGCACAGGTGAGAGCTGGGACCTGCCGACACCTGTTTCTCCCCCATCTTTTCTTCCCTTGTTCCCTGGAGTTTTGAACTTGAGCTCTGAGCACTGCCCCACTTGACACTACTTCACCTCCCATTGGTTCAGGGACTCACCCTCTGCCCCTTTCCCCCTCCTTCCCCAGGACCGAGGAGTGTACCTGTCCCTCCTGGCATCCCTCCGCACGCGTGCCCAGCTGCCTGTGGTGG